GTCCTTCAGCCAACGTAGATCAAGCGCAGACCAGTCGCAGTGTAGCTGCCCAGATGCTGCCTTTTCCTACCACGAATCTTCGAAGTACTCCCTCGAAAAATTCAGAGGGAAAATCTCGCTTACCGAGTTCCTTGTGCAGAGTCAATACTCTCATGGGGATCTCCGATCGGACTGAGGTATTCCAATCAATGCGATGTAGATAGCCGCTAATGACAGCGCTCTTCTGCCGCTTACAACCCGAAGATAGGTAAGACTTACCATTTTTTTTGGACTAGCGGGGCATCTGTCCAAATACAATCCTCGTTTTTAGACAGTTGCACACATCCCATCATAGGGTATCCCTGCCGACTTGTAATCTTACAACCCAAAAACTCAGTAGTCCCTTTGCCATTATCCGTTAGTTCTAGCACCAGTCCCTCAGGGTAGCAATTGCAGAAGGCTCTTAGCATAAAGTCACGGTCCTCATATTTTTTCCATGCCAACGCGAGAAGGACATCGTCCATCAGTCGTGTAGCGAAAAGGTAATCAGTCCGACGCCCCAAATTTCCCATCAATCGATACTCTGCGTAGGCACACAGAATGCATGCAAGCGGTGGGCTCGTACTTTTTCCCATAGGGATGCCCATCTCTTGCTTCAGCAGAACCCTTGTGGCGAAAAAATACGTGTTACGTAAATCCACATTAACGAAGGATTGGATCTCTTCCAATTCCAATCTTGCCCAGTGGTCTGCCCCCGTGGTAACACCAAAACTAGCTCCTCTCCCTCGGGTATTCACTCGAATCATGGTCCGATTCCTAGACCTGTGCCTATCAATCAGCGAGGCAATTGCATCGACAATATCCGAGTGTGGTAACCTGGTAAACATTTCCTTAATATCGAAAGAGAAAATTGTCGTGGTGTAGTCCTTCCCCTACTTTGCCACTTGTACGCACCCTCGTACGAGTACGGACTCGTACTCTTGTACTCGTACGCTAGGGGCCCCGTACGAGGTTTTTTTTTTTTTTTTGTAATCTGGTATTGTTTTTTTTTTTTTTTTCTGAAATTCTAATAAGAATCTGAAAATAATGCTCAGCCAAATGTTGCTTGTTTTGTGTTGTTGCATCACACTGTTTTTTTTTCGAAGTTTTTTTATGAGTTTTTTTTTTTTTTTTTTTTTGCTTTTTTGTACGGGGATTACAAGACGTACAGGTTCCCGTACAGGTTCCCGTACAGGTTTCCGTACAGGTTTCCGTACAGATCCCGTACAAAAATAACCTGTACGTTTTGTAGGGGAAGCCCCCGTACTTGTACTCTATGCAACGTAGACATATCGCAGGTTAAAGTGCTAGTTACGGAGGACTGTATACAGTAAATGATTCAGAGCTTTGGAAACCAGCTTACCCGTCTTAACCAATGGATCCGAGAATGAGGGGCAGATGGGCCGAAAACGGCTCAAGTCCTTGTGTTTTGGGTTGACATATGCATTCCCAAAGCATCCTTTCGCATCCACTCGTGCGAACTTCGTCAAACCATGCTCAGACACATCCTCTACAATCTTTCGGATGATACATGATACAGGTTCCGTCATAATCCGGTATCCCGGGTTCAATACAAACATCTTCAACATAGCATTGTAGTACAACTGTGGGCACATCCCTACCGTCTCGCCGGAGTTCCGGTCAACCGGTGTTAATACCAAATCCTCAAAACACCTACTCAAAAGTTCAACTTCCGTCAACGACACAGACTTACCAAAATTCGGTACAGCGTCCTCGTCCATCAAGCATTTCCCAACACAATTGCGATCAAAAGAAGGTGGATCGCCTCGAAGATTTTTCCACCTGAGGAAACCTTGGAGCAATTCCTCACACAGACCCAATTCTCGCTTATCCTTGCGCACACAAGGTATGTTATTGGCGTTAGCCAAAAACGGCGACGTACCCGGTAAATCGCACAGTCGAAAGCATACATGGCCTTCCCTTCGTGGGTAAGGCAAACCCATACAAGTACAGGTGAGCACATTGCGTTTCGAAAATGAACGCTGATTGTGCAAAATGTTTGCGATCGTGGGATTTTTTGTCCCTACGATACGCATCTTCTTTCGAACTCGATGCAAAAAACTTACAGGTAGATCGTACTTCATGAGTGCATCATTCGCTACTTTCCGGACTTCGTTAATGCAAATCCTATCGTCATACTGTATTCTAAAAGTTAGGTCCGCTGCAAGACTCAATCCAAAGTTCACTCGAATTTGACGAGAAATCAGCCGTCTCAGATACTTACGCGTCGATTTACATGAGAAATCTTTTACCACATTATAGATCCGTAGGTGGGATTTCAGACCCCACCCATGCAACAGGCTCAACTTCCTAGGATTGTTAAGAATTTGAATAAGCAAACTGTTTAGAAAACCACAGCGAGGTTGCTATTTGCACACGTAAGTAATCTCAAATATCACACCCTTCTCCAAAAGCTTACGACAATTCTTAAGTCTGACAGTATCCAGTCCAAATTTCAATTTCGACTCCCCAAAGGCTTTACACAAATCATGCCATCGGGGAAACCATACAGATCCACCGTCCGTACACACCTGGGTCGGGAAAATAGCCTCCTTCTTAACCTGTTCGAGGAGGCGATAGAAATCAAATGTCCATTCTGTGTCCCCTTGCCGACGGAATTTAATGGGTGACACCTTGGCATACTCGACCGCCGTGGACTCGTTCCCCTTTCTCCTCCGTCTCTCCCTCTTACCCGGTTTACCGTTTTTACACTTCTTCCCTTTGGCTTTGTTAATCCCCGACGTATTTAAGAAAGGAGACCATCTCTTTATATACTCGAGTTCCAGCTTATTAAGATCCTGGCCACCAAGTACATCAACCGGTATAAGCATATAATTCCCCTGACCAAAACTCACTAACCATCGGTGAAAGTGCGATTTAGACCGTTTACGACAGACGTAGAGATTCTCTCTCCATCGTGTAGAGGTATTTCTCGTCGTTTTCCCCACATACATATGCTTACAAAATGGAGATACGGCCACATATACACAGTCTGACAAATTTACAAAATCAACCCCATGCTTACTGTACAGATCAAGCCAATTACCCACAAGCTTATCTAGCCACTTAATCGCCTTATTCACAACTAAAAGCAAAATTACAGTCACAAGCAGGGCGTCAATCCGATAATCAGTTGAGACCGTGTTGCAGCGCCATTTCGCAAGGAATCGACAGATGGCCCACATATGAGGCACTCGTAGGTCCCACTAACGCGCTACAGCATCCTCGTCGCTCTGTTCCGCCAGTCCAATGGCCTCCGAGTCTTCTATGTCAATGGTCTCTATTTGTTGCTCCGGAGCCCGATCAGTCTCAAAACGCACGTAGGTGCGATGGTCAGCGATATCGAATATCGCATCGACCTTTCCGTCATATGGTACTCCCTCCTCTCGGCAGATTCGTTGCATCTCGCTAGCGTCCAACAGCTTCAATTCCTGCATCTCCAAGTTTCGGTACTTGTACCGTGCCAAAGACCCCTTCACATCCGGTGTTTCAATCTCGGTAGTCAATGGCGCCATCCTTCCTCGTCTAATCAACAAGATTGTGCGCACTGGAGTCTTCCGTTTTGCCGATCCTGGTGACTTCACCACCTTGGTCCGCGCACGGGTCATCCTCCCCGTGAAGGTGGCTGGCTTACGCCCTTGCTTTGGCGTTCGCTTAGCCGACGATTCCATTGGTGGACTTTTACTAATGGCCATATCCGGACCTCGCTTCCGCTTGTCAGTGATGACCAGTTCCGCCGTTCATGCACTCAAATCCTGCGTGATGCTGGTTTCACTCCTGCTACTACTGCCGCTGTAAGCCGGCTCCCGTCGCGGTTCCTTACCCTTTTCACTCGGTGGCTTGTGCAGTTCCATCACGGCTTGCCTCATCCGTTGCACGAACTTATCCTCCAACTCACTAACTTGTAGTATCAAGTGCATACTTAGGTCCTTCTTCAATTCGGGTCTGCTTTCGGCTTCCTTCCGACGTCTTTCCCGCTTCTTTTTAGCCTTTTCCTCCTGGATAGCTCTCTCTTCTGCTTCACGGATCTGCATCTCCTCCTCCCGCCGCTTCTCCTCTTCCCTTTCTTGCTTACGCCTTAAACGATTCTCCTTGCGGATCCTCTCCTCCTCAAAATGCTGCTTCATGGATGCGACGCTTCGGCCTAGATCACTGATCTGCTGTGATACTCCCGGGCCCAACTGCACAACTGGTTCCCGTCTCCACTCCCCACGCCGCGGGGACCTGGACCTCCTTGAGTCGGCAGATGTTGATGGTCGCGCCACGCCACCGAACCTTCTAGGTCTTGCACACTGATTGGCATAGTGTCCAACCTCGCTGCAGTTGTAGCGGGTAGGCCCCCTTCGTCGCTCACCCCGCTCCCGATCCTCATCTCGCCTACTCCGTTCTCGATCATCGTGTGCCCGATCGTCCTCACCTCGTACCTCCCTTCCGTGTTCGTACCGCTCCGGATTAGACATCACACTCCATCTTGGTGGAATAGATGGCAATACACTTCGCCCGTCATTAGCGCCCAGTTAGCGTCATACAATAGTAGTACAGGTACCCTGTAATCACCATACGGCGCTCACTCATCTCTGGCATATCATCTCCGGTAGAGTTCACACTAGCATTACACATGAGAATGTGAAGATAACGCAGAAGTGTAGCGTACACGTGGCGCAATTGCGCCCAAACCACACCAAAAACAAAGTCATACACAGTAGCTCGATAGGTTTCCTCCGTAAACAAACCACAACACCCAAGAACCGCCACTCGTTCTAGTCACCCCACTGGAATTGAACCCGTCTACCTCGTCCGAACTCAGCGGACAGAGGACAACTCCAGAACCCAAAGGAATTACTCCGACGACTTTGTTCCTAATATAGTATCTTGGCCCGCAAAAAACCCGATTTCCAGGGCACTTAGGCTAGTACAG